TGATCGCTCTTGCGACCCTTTCTTCTTCGAGCAGAACCTTCATACGACGTCACAGAGCTTGAACTTGAGTCCATCCCATCAACGCTCGTAGTTGTTACTTTTTTATCTTTTTTAGCTTTATCATTAGAATCAATACTTGAATTAGGTTTGAGAACCCTTATTGGAGCACTTCTGCCCTCGAAGGTATCCCCAAACAACTCCTCGTGCACAATGGTATCTCTATCCTTGGAGTAGGTACTCTTGGAACCCTTCTCCTGGTAGTCGGAACCACGCTCATCATCGACAGGCTTGATGGACATTGATGATACGTAGTTGGATAAGTTGGGAAACAGAACCAGACTGACATTAGTACAATTAGCCGGCATAACAACACCTTCTACATCACAACTTCTCTCAAAGTATTCTACAACTCCCTTAACCTCTCCTGAGACTCTCTTCCCTAAATCAAGCTCGAAGGACCTTACACTGCGAACCATCAGCTCGGGAATATGAGCTCCTCCTCCTGAGCTCGCCGATGGCAGCAGAAATCCTAAACCCGCAGCTAGATCCCACGAACCTTCGACCTGACCACTCTCCAGGTCTGATGGATACCCTGAATACTGTCCCTCCCCATATCGAGAACCAGACCAACACAACCAATTGGGTACAAAGGGGAGAGTTTCACTCCCTTCCCATCTCGAACTCCGAGCAGGGTTACCCTCAGAGACTCCTAAATGGCGTCCGAAACCCGTCGGTAGAGGTGCCAAACCAGTACCAGCATAGTCCACCTTTGTCGTAGAGTAAATTCGTAACCTTCCCTCCTCGACTGCGATAAGGTCGAAGGACCCTCCTGTCGATCCGCCGACAGTGAGAGATGTCTCCCCCGAGTGCGAAACCATACGCCTCCCGAGAGAACAGGAGATACTGCACGAACCCTCTAACGACCCCAGAGATTTTGGAGACTGACCAACATAACCATAGCGGTACAAAGGGGAGAGTTGAACTCCTTTCCCATCCCAGGACTCGAGCAGGGTTACCCTCGATGCCATTTCTACGGCGTCAGCACTCCTAACCCCCGGCACCCTAGTCACAGGTACCCCGCGACTGGTAACGGGATTCCCTGTACAATTTCTAGGGCAGTCTTGAGATGCAGAGTCTAGAATAGCCGTCCCAAGACCTATTTCATAAATTACAGGAGTTGAAGAACTTGGCGGGATAGGGGCCGTGGCCATGCTTATTCCATGACCATCTTGCTCACCTACCTCTGGAACGTCAGCCGGGACCAGCCGAGCGCGTTCTGGACTTCTAACCCCTACCGGCCTATCGAAGTGGTCGCAAGTTCCATCCGATAGACTCAGTCGACAATCACCCGGATAATGACTGCCGGTGAGATCGCAGTTAGAGTAAGAGGTATAGCATCCATCACTAACGAGTGGATCCCTCATCCACCTTTCTCCTATACCCCGACTTACTGAGTGGGTGGTACCCTTTTGACCCTTATCCCCGCGTTCCCTGGCCAAAGGCTGCGATGATACGGTCACTGGATACCCAGACGACTGTAATACCCATAGGACGAGTCTCCACCAAACCACAAGGCATAGTCGTAACAGTACTTCTCTATCGTCATAATCCATCCATCTGCGATCCCTTACATGACGATGACCCATTTGCTCACCCGTTGTCGACATTAAGGTGAGACTCAAAGATCCCTCTTGCGATGGCCCTTGAACATGAGGCACGGGACCTAGGCGTTTCAACCCGTGTTCCTTCGGACCATCCGGTGGGCCCTTGGTGACCTCAAACCGTCCCGATTCCGCGCACCCAACGGACTTCAACCATTGCCGCAAGGTTGCCTGGCACCTATATAAAGGAGCGTATTTACCCAGACAGGGAGGGTTTTGCTGCGTTGCCGCTCGCAGCTGCCCAACTCTCCACGGAGGGGCTCGGCTCCCGCCTTGACGGGCCATCCGGTCCACATCAGCCCAGGTTGTCGCCTTGGGAATCGCCAGTTCCACGCTGCCCGGTAGCGTCTCCTGTGAGTCCGCCCCGTAACAACGCTTTCCTAGGGGTTGAGAATCATCGTAGCATTCATCAACGCTGGAACCCTGCAAATCCTCAGTACCAACCGCGGCACGAAAAGACATGCAACCCCCAACGCAACGCTCCATGCCCCGTACATTCACACCCCCCTCCCCGAAAGGAAGCGACCCCTGCACTATTACGCTATAAGCCTTTCCTTCTTGAGGTTCTCCTTCTCCCAAGGGCGGGTCGGAGATCATAGGACCCACTTCCCTATGCCCCATATCGTCATAACCGATACCCTCGGAAGTACCATCATATCCACCATTATCCCCAGAACCTCCACCATTATCCTTGGTACCTTGTGGTAACTCGACCTTCCTACGCCCCTTCGCGACCTTCATAATACTCTTCAGCGAAGGGCATACCTTATTTCCGGCTTTCCTTACCCCGGGAACCTGTTTCGTCACTGACAACGCCCTAATGTCTACGGACCTTAACCTTCTACGATCTACTACATCACGTGGACCGCATACAGATACTGTTCCAGGACACTCTAAAGAATCCCGATCACAGGTCGGATCGATCCCGGTAGAATGTGCGTATGGGCGAGTGGGGACGGCACTATTACCCAAAGGAATAGAACTTGTGGATGGTGTAACCACAACCGAACCCTTGCCACGACCGGCTGCGTTGATACCGCGAGCCTTACAACCCCAAGTACTAGTTGATCGAACCGACGGACTCTGCCTTGTACTGACGCGTGACGTATCCTCTTGTGAATAAGTCTTGGAGAACGGCGAACACCCTCTGATATATGAGCGGCCTCACTACGTGCTCCACTTCGCGTTAGAACCATCACTACTACCAACTCAAGGTCTGAACTACTGGATATACAAGGTACCTTCTGACCAACGTAACGTGCTTGCACCGTAACTAGACGTCAGTTGCGTACCTCAACAGTGCAGTAAGTGAACCAGGAACTCTGTAGCGGTCCAGAGCTTAGTACACTCAACTACCGAGCTTACCAACAACAACTACTCAGCTTCTGCTTCACGCAACGCACAAAGCAGACTGGCTGCACGCAGACACAATGTCTCGCGCACTTACAGACTTGAGAATCCTCAACGTTGGAAGAATGCCACTGCGGTATCGCACACTGTCTTCAAGCTGGGCTTCCGGTTAGCAGATGAAACGGCTGTGTTCATCGCACTCGCCCGAGTAATAGATTATCAGCGCAACTAAGTTGCAGGTTGTATTGTATTGCGTTGCAGTGCATCCGGCCGTGTCGGACGTAGTTTTCGAGTTCCGTCATTGAATTTCCATTCCCAACACTCCGACTAGCCCATCTTCCGAGCCTTTACTGTCCCATCAACGTCTATCATTCCTATGCTGGTCATCCCACTCATCGGTACTCAGGTCTTTCCAGCGTCGTTGTGGAGACCCTTTGGTGGCAGGTATTCACTGAGGATGTCACCCCAGAGGAACAAGTGGCTCCACCAGCGGGTTATAAGTTGCTGCCCTTGTGGGAGCACTCAATGCTGTCGTTGTAAGCGCGTCCTCAACGCGGTTGGGTCATCTCTCTTGGTGAGTATATTGTACCCATCTTGAGGTTGTTAATGCTCTTCCCAGGACTACACATCTGTTGCGGCATTCGCAACAGGCTGGCAGCGCTTACGTCCTGGCGGTTTCGATGGTCGTTCTGGGCACAGCCTCACTGTATGCTGGAATGGAAACACCGTTTATCTTGCCAGTGGTCTCGACAGTATGTCTCGGTCAATGAGCGATGTGTAGGTTCTCGCAGGCCTCGGTATCGTCTGAATAGTGCCTGCAGGTATTGCAGTGTTGATAGGGGTCGTTCATGGGGACGTCGAACAATTTCGGCCGAATGGTCTCTGAGGATGGGGCATTGCATGATCTCCCTCCGAGACGATGTGGCATTGGTTCTTTTTGGCGAGTTCACTTTTTGTGAGTCGTTGCCAATGACTCGTTGGGTGAAGTCTTTTATATGTGGATAGGATCATAGCTTTAACCTCTGGAACGACGTTTGGCGGTCGCACGTGGACGGAATTTATTCCTGTCGATCTGAACGGATCATTCTCACCGAGCTGTAATCTCGCCTGTACTATTCTGCACAGCGGAAGGTGAGTAGTTGCTACGTCGTATGTAATAATGGCTCTTATCGTTTCAGAATTGTTGTTTGCGGAGAGCTTGGTATGGACAACATCCACCTCAATTACGATTGGTGCTCTGACGAGTCCGGTGGAAGTTGGCAACGCCTGCCTGCGTGCGCGGCGCACGGTGCGCCTCATGGGAACCCCGATGGGCCATGGGATTCAGCACCATCAACGGTGAGTTCCCTTCCAATGTGTATTGTTGAGAGTATGCCTGGTACGGTAGGTGGCTAGTCGATGATCATGGTCGGTGGCGCTACTGTGACGGATTTCCTTTCTAACTCGTGGAGGTCAGACGATGGCGGAGTGTCGTGGAAAGAGGTAGGCCCGACTGTCGGTCCCCGACAGATCAGTAACCAGGAGGCTTGTAAGATCAACACGGACGCTTCATGATTGACATCATCTTTGGCCATTTTATATGTTATATACTGTTGCGAGTGATTGTCTATACAATCCGGGAATACGATGATGGAATGAGGAAATTGTTGAATGTGGAAATTGTTAACAACTGGTCGATTGAAATATCACCGCAATGGTTCAAACCAGTGGTTTTAATAACAGGGCAAAAACTTGTAAGGCTTGATTGAACTTATCCGATGTGGAAAATATTCACCATATGCTCAGCTAAGGGATTCCTTTACCCAAGAGAGACTCATTTTGTGCTACGGGGGATTGGAACCAGCTGCTGATCAACAGCATCTTCCATGTTCGAGTAGTCATTCCCAACTGAGATTACACCATCCTCGTAGGAGAATCCCAAAATCCACCGTCCAACACGATCCATCATCAATCTCATACAACGATCATCGACAACATAAATAGACCGTCACGGGGGTATACTATGCTAAAGTATCACTGTTTGTCCTTCGCGTTAACAAATCAAGTATTCCATAACAGAGGACCAAAGTACTACAGAACCTTCTCAGGTAATGTGTGTAAAAATTTGGTTTCGTGTACATGCGTTCAAACTAGCTCTCTGGCCGGCGGAGTCAATATAGGATGGCTACCGACGCCAATCAACCTCACCACTTCCCTTGGCATGATCAGCGGAGGTAGCGGGTGATCCAGCGCTGAACCAGCGCTGGTTCAGCGCTGGTTTTCAGCGCCGCT